CCCTTTGACTACTGGAGAGACTGTACACTCCTTTGCAGGCAAATACACACACATGCCTCAACAGGCTCTCATGCACCCCATCTTTCCCACCATTCCTACCTGATCACTCATTCCATTTGGGCAAGTTATTTATACTTCCAGTCTATACCCTGCTACTCATGCCTCGTCCTTGACCCTGGAGATGCCTGTCCACTCACCATCTACCTGATATGCCTGTACTCATTCTTCTAATTCCTGCTCAACTCGAATTTTTTCCTGTTTTCCCTAACCCTCATCTGTACAATTATAAGTTTTGTGTACATATCCATCTCTTCTTTGAATTCAAGTCCGCCCAAGAGATAAAGATTGTCACTCATCTCTGTGCCCTTAGGAATTAAGAGATCATGGAGTGAAGTATCAAAATCATCAGGACTGGAAGAACAAGACAATCATTCTACTTATCAGGTCCTTTCTGCATGCCAGATGCTGCCTTTATTGTTTGGGGCACAATGGAGACACCCCAAAGTATTTGGCATCATGGAACTTAAAGTTTTAGCAGAGAATACATATATTTTAAATTTTATATTCAATCAGTTATGAGTATATTAGGTTAGGGAATAGAGAGTGAGGTGAATATATTTTAGATGGAGAGATGGAATGGTCAGAGAAAGTCTCTCTGAGAAGGTGGCACTGAGAGAGCCAAGGGAATACGGGTACCAAGCTGGGTGAGAAAGTATGAGGAAGGCATTCTGCATAGAAGGAGCAGAGTGCAAAGGGCCTGACAAAACCATGCTTGACATGCGTTGCCCCATAGCGAGGCTGGGCTGGATGGGAACAGTGACTAAAGCAAAATTAGTGGGAAATGAAATCGAAGAAGTTGCCTTCAGTAAAATCATCCAGGTTTTGGACTTCAATCTGGAGCCTTCTTGCAGGGCTTAGAGTAAAGGTATGTGGGGGTGGGGAGGGAGGGGGGTACATAGCTTTTTTAAAGGATCGCTGTGGTATTGAAGCACACCTAGGGGATAGAAACAAAACAACAAACAAACTCACTGACTCATAGTGTCCCTATAGGGCAGGGTAGAACTGCCCTTGTGAGTTTCTGAGACTAACTCTTCAAGGGAGTAGAAAGCCCCATCTTTCTCTGTCAGAGAAGCTAGTGAGTTCAAACTACTGACCTTGAGGATTGCAGCCTATTGTATAACCACTACGTTACCAGGGGTCCTTAGGGGAATAGAAGAAAATGAAAAGTATGTAAATCCAAGGGATAAACTAAAGGGTATGGGGTTTTTTGTTTTGTTTTGTTTTTAACCGTATTTTAAATCAATGCTACAGGCATCTAACAACAACAACAAAGTAAAAGGTATTAATGGTTTGGGTTTCCCTTAATCAGGAATATACCAATAAGATAGCAGTACTACCTAAATGTTTAATTAACTATAAGTTTTAGTAAAATATATTGTAAAAAGATTTTATGAAATTCCCCTAGTATCTCCCAAACAGATTTTGTGTCGTTTCCCCATATTTCCAGTAAATGAATGACCTTGCCATTCCTTTTCTCATTTATTAAATATTAAGTGCTGTCTATGTACCAAGTACTTAGCTACATTCTCAGAGCATGTCATGAGTATGGAACAGCCCCGAGTTTGACAACTTGCTAAGACTGAGATCACGTTTCCCAGAACCCGTCCGTATCTGGCTCCAGGTGAGTGCTCATAAGAGGAAAGCAGACGTGAAGTAGACACCCTTACTCACAATCTGTCCTCTCCCTTCTCCACTCGACATGTTGCCCCTGTGGGGTGGCTGTGACGTCACAGCAGCACGGTTTTCCTGTGTGCGGTTTGCTTGCCTGTCTCCATCAGGCTCCCTCGGCATGGTTGCCCTTGAGCAGCTGCAGGTGCTCGGAGTCTCAGATTTCCCCACCGGTTTCAACTTGTCTACACACACCAGTACGTCAAGTCGCCTGGGTACTGACTCTTTCCCTAACACGTCATAGCCCTCCTTCCAGACCTTTCCTTTCCAAGCTCCTCTATAGTTGGGGAAAAGTAAATCCTGTCCTAAATCTTTGTTTTTATCTGGCTTCGTTTTCCCCTCTGACAGAGCAGGCTCACAACTAAGCAGGTGACCTCATACAGCGGAGTAAGCAGCGCTCAGTTCCCCGGTTACATGAACACATAAGAGATCGGTGACATTCTGAAGGAAAGGTTTGCACTTAGCCAAATGAGCATTGTTTTGGAAACTAGCCAGTTTCCAAGACCTGGATGAGGCATCAGAAAAAATGAGAACCCCAGAGAGTTCCCGTAGCAGGGCTAAGGTGCACCCTGGGCCGCTCGTCCTACATGTCCCTTCGTCAGTAGTCCAGACGCCATCTTTTCACTATGGGTGGTACAGCACTGGACACCTTTCTTGGTATTCAAAATAAACCTAAAAATAATTACTGAATAAAGAGCTTTAAGGGCAGATACAAAAAAATAAGTTATAAGATGGCTTTCAACCCTGAATTTTAAATGAAATCATACAGCTGGCTTTTCCAAAATGGAAGTTTTTGTCTTCTTGATTCAAATAAATGCTGATGAAAATGCCATAAAATTGAAATAAACGATTTGCAAAATCTTCTCCAACCTTACAATCCTGACCCGGGAGGGTTGGGGCAGGACTCATTGAACCTGTCATGGCAGTTCGGTATAGCAGTTTGGTTCCGAACTGCAGGGATTTAGCACGTGTTTGCACATTTGTTTCTTCCTTCCTATTTCTGGGAGGAGAAAGGGAGGAAAGGAAGAAGGACTGGCAGCTGCCAAGAGACAGCGTTAGCAGATTCCACCTACACGTACTTCTGCAGGATTCGTTCCGTACTGATCACTGGAATCCAACAGGCTTTAAAAAGGAAATGAGCAGCTACTGAGTGGATCCAGACTCAGCGTGGCCCTCTAGGACAGCACTAGAACTGTCCCGTTGGTTTTCCAAAGCTTTAACCTTTACAAGAAGTGGACTGCCACTTCTCTGGGCTGTAGAACAGTTGGTGGGTGTGAACCACCAACAATCGCACAACTCAACGAACAACCAAACCCCAGACCACACCCCCTGCCTGTGAGTCAATTCCATCTCATACCCTGTTAGACCCACTGCCATTGTGTGGGTTCCAACTCATAACCACCTTGTGGGGCAGAGTACTACTGCCCCTGCGGGTGTCAGAGAATTTTAAATATGTACAGGAATGTTAGCTATATATTTCTCCTACGGAGTCTGCAGTGGTTTCCAATCCTCGTTGACCCTGTGGTCATTGCCTAACTCACCAAGTCAGTCACAGGCTCTCAGAGATACAATATAGACTCACTGTATTCTGATTCATAGTGACCCAAAAAATAGTGTTTCTGAAGGTATCAATCTTTACAGGAACTCTCCACCCAACACTCCACAGAGCAGCTGGTGGATTTGAACTGCCAACCTTGTAGTTTGCAATTCAGTGATTACCTGACAGCACCACCAGGGCTCCTTCCAAGTGGACAGTGCTTGCCCTGGAAATGTGTCTTCAGTCAAATGCTCCTTTGCAGTCTAGACAGTTGATGTTTAAATATATATGAAAGGGTA